TATACACTCCATGAAGGCAAAAACAACTTACTTTGAAAAAAGTTAGTAATACCGTTGAAGCTAGCGAGAAAATGGCTAAAATGGCTGGCAGCTGTTCGCCGCGGTCGTGACGCGCCGCAGCCGTCCGCGACCTTTGACTGCCTAATCAACTGCCCGGATGACGACTGTAGGCGGTTGAGGTTTGGCCCTGATGATAACTGGCGATTAGCTTCCATTATGCGTCCCGGAAGCGTTTGAGTCAGAGCTTGAGCGACCGATGAAGGGAAGAGGAAGGCGTGGCTGGTTTAGATGAGTGTCATCTTCCATTCGCTGAATGCGAATGGTTCTGCCTCCGTGACCGACTTCTGGTCAGTGGCTGCTCACTGTATCAAAGTTGTAATGCCAAGCCCTGTCAGTGCCAGCAATCTTAGGTTGCTTTGCTAAACCCCAGGAATGGAGGCCTTAGAAAAAACAAATTCACTTTCGTTGCGCGAGTTCTTGTTGACAAACGACTTCATTCCCATACACTTTACATCACTGCAATTGTCGGTGTCGCAATCAGCTCGCACCTGCGACGTTTCCATCATTGGTTGCTCCCTCCCTAAATCGATCTTTACCCGATCGCCATTGGTAGAGCAACGAGGCCGAACGCCCATTTGGACCGCGTTGCACAGCCGCCTCCGACAGTCCGCAATGATGAGGACTGTACCTAGAACAACACAGTAGGTCGATGCCTTTTCTAGCTGGCTATGGAATTACAAGCGGATAGGGTTTATTTTGCCTGTACAGGATTTTTCTGATTGCAATCAACCGCTAGGTAACATATGAATGGAACTGGTATCTTTCCGTAGCCTGCCATGTCGTCGATATCGTCCCCATACCTCCCGACGGTGACTAGCTCCATCTGACTATCACCAAAGCACATTTATAGAAAGTATTTCAATTGATGAAGGGACCACAGTCTGGCACTCCGCAGTAAAAACTTTGAAAAGCTTTCTGAACTTCTGCATGTTTCATGCTCTTTGGATTTTTCTCTCGCTTGCCAAGCAGTGCTTCTTCGTACTCTTGTGCTTCATTGGCACAATGGCAGTTTATCGAATGGTGCTGATGAATTGAAAATCTCTACATCTCTTGTTTTCTTTTTTGTTGTGGGTACCTTACAACAAGCAAGCATTTTGAAGGTGGCTTTTAACTTGTTCTGAGAGGTCCTGACTCTCGTAAATTGACTCTTTTCTAGCTATTGCTCTCGGTATTCATTAAAGATAATGCAAGC